CCCCATCTTCCTTCCGAGGAGTGGCTGGTGGATTTGAACCGCCAGCCTTCTGGTTAGCAGTCAAGTGCCTTAGGCACTATGCTACCAGAGCTCCCATTTCTTCAGAATAGATCTCCTTAAAGGCAAAGTCCTAGATCTTGAAAATAACTGACCATTTGAAACCAGTATTTCATAATATGAAATGTCCTCTAAACAACTGGATTCTAGCACACCACTGATTACAAAGAGTAATCAGTAACAGGTACACTCGTTCATAACTATTTTGTAAAATCAGAACTAGGATCCATCTGTATTTTTAAAATCAGGTATCTGCTACTATCACATCTCAAGTTAGTGAGATAAAATAAAATGAAGTAAGTAATTCCAGGCTTTCTTCAAATTACAGCTAGCAACCCAAGAGAACTAGGTTATCAGGAGCACACATAAAATGTGTCCCCTCAAAGGGTGGTATATTTTAATAGAAGATGCATTAAACAAAGTCAGAAATTCATTGATGGTTCAGGTCCTGTCCAACTGAATTCAGACCTGACAGCATAAGCATATGGTCTGTTTAACGTTGATTCAAGGTGGCCTACAAGCATCAGGACTTGACACCTCCAGGATCTTCAACCTGGGAGGCCGTAATTCCATCCAGGACTTCCTAGGTCCTCTCTCCAGGTTATCAAAATTTGAAGTCCAGCTTTATAGTAGGCCTGGGCTCCATGGGATCCTCAAACTCCAGCATTTTCTTGTCATCTCAAGTCTGACTTCTACCAAATCTTGGTCCATCAACAGGACAGGCTGGTCCAGCTGCAGAGAGAGGGTGTGCATAGAAGCACCAGGCTAACTTGTGAGACCTTCTGCTAAAGTGTGCTTGGGAATGATGTGAAATACTCTATCATAGCCAGAAAAGAAAATTTGACTCCTGGGAGTAAGGGCTCATTGTTTCAACAAAGTAATCAATATATGAAGGGATGGTGGTGCTATCTTAGGGCACAGAAAGAAGAAAACCATTGAAATCTGTCTTCTTAACCACTTCAATAAAGGATTTGGGAGGGTACAAAAAGGCAAACATTAAGAATTATCTTTCCATTTTATTGATTCATGTAATCCGTCCCTCTCCTCAAGAAGCATGAATATACTGAGCAAATTTCTAGGAATTTTTTTAAAATTTGTAGCAAGTAGAAAGGTCATGAGGAAGGTAAGATTGGTGTTACAGTGCCATGATTGAAATATAGATAACAGTAAAGAATCAATAGTTCTAAAACTCCATGACTGCCTGGGTGATAGTCATTGATCCAATTATAAGGGAAACCAACAACCATTCCTAAAGAAAGTAAGCTGAAGGAAACAGGCATTTTCTCTAATTTACATATAATGATTAGTCTAAAAAGAGACACAAGCATATAGAAGACAGAAAACTCCCAGAGACAAATGACAGTATCAAATGTTATCTCAGAATGACATAAGGCAGCCAAGGCTTCCCTCCATGACTACTCCATACGCCCAGAAGTGAGTGAACAGAGGCCCTGCATGTACGACACCCGAATACCTCTGGTTTGTCTGAATTTTGGAAGACCAGGGTTGTGGTACCCATTTCTAACACTAGTCCCAGTGAAATGAGTTTCGTGGTACAAATTCATAAAGTCATCCTCTAAAAAGCCTGCCAATGCGTTGGCCTTTATAAATAAGTCAGAGATCTTCCCAGGGTTTCCTCAGTTTGAATGTAAAAATGGAAAGGCAAACCTGGTGTAGCTGAGAAACCCCTGGACTGGGTTTTAGAGAAGCACATTTGTGTTATTTGGTCTTGAAGTTCATCCTCTATTGAGGGCTCCTGTTTTCACCTCACTGTCTTGCACAGCTCTCAGGAGGCAACTGCCATTCTCATCAGGTCTCCATAGATTAAATAGAGTCCCTTGAGCAAAGTCTTAGATTTGGATTTTATATTTTCGTCTTTAGAAACATCTGTACATGGCTGTTGTGAAGTGACCTAACTACTACTAAGATGTTACATCATTCTGGGCTTTTGCACATTACAGCACAAACATTTCAAATGAAGTAAGAAAAGAGCATTAAACCAAGAAATAATTATGGTTCTTGATATACACGTTCTCTACTTCTTATGTGAAATGATGTATAATATATCTCAAGAAAGTAAATTTTGACTTATTTTCAATTGTTCCAGGACTCCACAATACTCTCTTTGGGGGAGAGGTTCTGCCAGGTGCTGTTAAACAAACATGTGAAAGTCATTTATGCTTAATATGGAAGGCTCAGTACCATAAATATCACTGAATGTCTGAGATATTAATATCTTTATCTACTTACAAGGCAACTGCAGAGCTACCCTGCAGATCTGTAAGCTGTGTGTTGGTTTAAACTTTTATGACTTCAATTTGCTACCACCTGGGGCAAAGGGCTTTGGAATGCAGTTACTGAAGCTCCTTAATTTCTTGGCAAGGCTTAAGTGAATTCTAGGATACTTCATGCAGTCAGCTTAGCACTAATAGATTTTTAAAGACAAACGCATTTAACATTTACGCTTGATGGGCTTTTTAAAAACAAAGCAATTACTTACACGACATTAACTATATGAGCAGCTTCCTTCTGACAATTCAAATTCTTGTATTCCGGGGTCATTTCCGAATAGGTACACATCAGGCGCTGAAAAACAGAACAACCCTGACGAACCTGAAGGACATCTCTTCAAGGAGGAAAAGGCATAAAATTACCAGGTACCTTTTCTGATTTATGGTCTTATTGACCATGGTTGAGGGAACCTGAAAACCGAACCTGGGTAACTATTTTTCCCTTTGTAAAGGGTTACATAAAATTACATGATAGTTTATGTTACAAGATCCTGCTCCAGGTTCCTACCTACCTCTCCAGCTTCACCCTCCACTTCTCGCTCTCTTACTCTCTATTACTCAGTCACAGGGCAGGCCTTCTCCCAGCTCCAAGAATACATAAGCTGTAGGGTAAGGCAAATGAGGCACTGACCTCAGGAACACAACTTAAGGGGTCACCAAAATATTCAATAACCAAGATAAGTAATACTTTAATGCAATTATTATAAAACATAAAAATCAATGCAACAAATCCATCATGCACCTGGTGGGACTGTGAAGTGATATAACCACTGTGGAAAGCAGTATGGCAATTCCTTAGAAAGCTGGAATTGGAGATACCCTTTGACCCAGCAATCCCATTACTAGGTATATATCCTAGAGAGGTGAGAGCCAGGACAGGAAAAGATATATGCACACCCATGTTCATTGCAGCACTATTTACAATAGCAAAAAGATGGAAACAACCTACGTGCCCATCAACGGAAGAGTGGATGATCAAACTATGGTACATACACACAATGGAATGCTATGCAGCACTAAAGAATAAGGTAGAGTCTGCAAAACACCACATAATATGGATGAACTTTGAGGACACTTTGCTGAGTGAAATAAGTCAATCACAGAAGGACAAATATAGTATTAGTTCATTGTTGTGGAGGGTCAAAGAAAGGTTTATATATGGAGGAAAACTTTCTTTGCTGGTTGTTAGGGGTGGGTTATACAGAGGGGAAGAGAGGGAACATTGAAAAAAAAAGAAAAAATGCATTGACCCATGTCACTTTAGTTTTGTGTATTTCACTGTACATATATTATATTTCAGTAAAATGCATTTAAAGAAAAGCCATCGTGCATAAAAAATCAGAAGTTTAAATAAAGACAGGACCTAACCCTGCACTTGCATGACTACACCTCACTTGCATGACTCCACCTCACTTGCCTCACCCTAATTGTGGTCCTATTGGATCCTATCTTTATTTCAACCTTTGGTATTTTGCTCATCATGGACTTTTGGAATTAATTTTTTTTTTAAATATTGTATTAATATACTATTTATCTTGATTACTGAGGGTTGTCTTTGTTTTTTTTTTGTGTGTGTGTGTACATCCTCTTAAATTTTATACCCCGGGTGAGTGACTCACTTGCTTCACCCTAGTCCCAGCAGATCCCCTTGGGTCTCTTTTGACCATTTGTGTACCCACATTTTCCTTCAGTGTGTTTTTGAGCCCAACAGCCAGTACCTGTGTGTCTTCTTCAGAGGCCAGACCTCGTGTTACTGGTGCCCAGTCCACCTGAATATATGAAAAGCTAGAAGTGCCAGGAAACTTAGGCTCCTTACCCTTGCTCTGTTCTACTTCCTCCACTTCCTTACCAATTTTCCCTGGCAGAAACTTTTGCTTAAGAATCCTCCTCTCTGTACTGCCTCCAGGAAACATGATCTAATTCGGAGCCTTTGCAATAGCTATTCTCTGTTTCAAATACTCTTTACATGGAGTGCTGCTTCTCATCTGTCTCACTGATGTTTAAACATCACCTATTGCTCACTGATGTTTCAACATCACCTGTTGCGGGAGCTCTGGTAGCCTAGTGCCTAAGGCACTTGACTGGTAACCAGAAGGCTGGCGGTTCAAACCCAACAGCCACTCCTCTCAGAAGGAAGATGGGGCAATCTACTTCCGTAGTGATATGCCTTGGAAACCCAAGGAGGGGTCGCTATGAGTCAGGTACGACTCAATGGCACATAACAACAACAACAACAACATTGCTTCTTTGGGAGCTCTCGTAGCATAGTGCCTAAGGCATCTGAACTACCAGCCATTCCTCAGAAGGAAGACTGGGCAATCTACATCCTACTTCCATAGAGATACTGCCCTGGAAACCCAAGGAGGGGTCACTATGAGTCGGATTCGACTCAACGGCAATGAGTTTTTTTGTTTTTATTGCTTCTTTGATCACCAAGACCCATCCTCTTCCCTTACTTTTACAGCATCCTTTTGACTTTCTTTTCAGTGCTTTGTGATAATTTGTACATATTTTATGCATTCCTTTTTTTTTTTTTTAATTGGGTGCGTCCCTGAGTGGCAGAGATGGTTAAGCATTCAACTAAACAAAAGGTTATCTATCAGACTCTAGCATTCAAGTAGAGGGAGCATATCAGGTCCTTTTATTTTGGAGTCCTTGCCTGGTACTGCCACCACTGATCACTTTGCTGTACAGTGGTGGCTTGCATGTTGCTTGAATGCTGGAAGCTATGCCACCAGTATTTCAAATACCAGCAGGGTGGACAAGTTTTAGAAGGGCTTCCAGACTAAGACTAGGAAGAAAGACCTGACGATCAACTTGTGAAGAAAATGGCCAGTGAAAACTTTATGAACAGCAGTGGAACACTGTCTGATACAGTGACAGAGATAAGCCTCTCAGGTGAGAAGGCACTCAAAATTCAGAGTGGCTACAACAATGGGCTCAAACATACCAAGGATTGTGAGGATGGTGCAGGATCAGGCAGTGTTTCATTCTGTTGTAAATAAGGCTGCCATGACTTGGAACTAACACAAGCACCTAACAACAAAAGATACTAGCACTGCACTAATTAGTGCAAGTCATTGTCCAGGTTTTCCTTGGATTAGGACTTGATCAGCTAGTGAAAAGGCAAGTATATTTTTTAAGTTGAATGAATGCCTTGTGCTTTCTCTTGAAGGTATTCATAAAATTAGAAGAAATTTGCCTGAGGCATTTGTGTGGTGAAATGCTAAGAAGTTAAAAAAAAAAAAAAAAAAGAAAAGAAAAACTTCCCGAGAGGGGATCATTTGTTTCTTGCCATCTGAGGAAGCATATCAAATTTTCTAATCTAGGAAAACAAAATAAATTCACCTATTCAATAAAAACTATTATTGAGATACATAAGCAGAATAACATATCCTCAGTGAAAATCCCAGATTTTAGTATTAGTAGCAGTAGTACAATCTTGTCTGAGCAGTGATATATTTATAAAGAGTGAAGACAGAATCTGTAAACCCAGAGCTGTAAGGGTAGAGATGTTGAGTTTAGGCACAAAACCATAATGCTAACTTCTTATAACTAAGTGGCACCAGGGAACTGTAGTTCTACACTTTCTCTTGCAAAGAGGTGGTCGTAACTAATATTTCCATCAGCTTCTTTTTAATCTCGTTTTTCCTTTCTGACAGATTCTTAGTGCATTTTATTCCCACAGCATATCTTCAACTTACAGAATGTGTATATAAATGCTAATATGTACTTCCCAATATTCTTTTCATTTTAAATACCTGTAGCTGTTCATCAATGTAAGGGACTTTTAAAATCTCTATAGCAGATGGTCTCAATGAAGGACTCTTGTTCAACATGCTGCAATGTTCAAAAAGAAAATTATTTTTCAAATGAGCTAAAATATAAGCACAATCTAGAAGTATTTTGGTGACCATATATTTATTTTCTGTACCTTTCCATGATGGTGTTTAGTTCCCTTGGATATCTCTCAGGGAGAGAAGGTGTGTTGCCTTCAACAATTTTCAAAACAATGGACAAGAAATTGGTGCCAGTGAATGCATGATTCATGCAGCACATCTCATATAAGATACATGCCAATGACCTAAAGACAAAGAGAATTTAAATAAGAACAAATGTCCTATTTTAAGTTCGTTCATTCTAGAAAACCTCAGGTGTTAGGGCACTGCCTATAAGGCACTAATATTCACTTCAGTTGTTTGCTTAAAAACTTCAGTTTCATACTATTGTTTTCCAGTTGTTGTTGTTGTTGTTATGTGCCATCAAGTTGGATCCAACTCATAGCGACCCCTCCTTGGGTTTCCAAGGCAGTATCACTATGGAAGTAGATTGCCTCATCTTCCTTCCGAGGAGTGGCTGGTGGGTTTGAACCACCAGCCCTCTGGTAAGCAGTCAAGTGCCTTAGGCACTACGTTACCAGAGCTCCTTGTTTTCCAGTTAGGTACATGTTAACTAAAAAAAAGAAAAGAAAGAAAGAAAGAAGCAAGCACAAAAGGTAAGTTTGAATGACCATTTTTTGTCAGAGGGGAGCATACAAACCAATAGCAGCAATATGCCTGCACAGAGTAGGTACTTGATAAATATTTGATCAATGTAGGAAAAAAACTGTTTAATTAACTTCTATGGAGGAAAAATAGAAAGCAACTAAATCTTATTATCCTAAGGCAGCTTTGTTAATATTTTCAATGCAAAACAAAATTTTAATTTATCAATCTAACCTTGTCTCTAATGTGTATCCAAGCATTTTGAAAAGGAAACTGGCATTCTTTATTAGTTTTCTGAATATAATCCATTTGCAAGTACAGTGGAAGTGCAGCTATTTGCAGCTCACATTAAAATGTGTAATATTCCTTTGGGGTATGAAACAGAATATTAAAATTCTAGATCAGTCCAATATTTTTTTGAATTAACCATGCAAATTAGTAATATCTAAACCAACCAGAAAATCTTTTCAATAACTATATGTCATAAAGAAAACTAAGAGGAAATTCTTGCCTAATCTTAGTATTGAGAAATAACTGTATTTCTCCTGAATAGTGTATTTATTTTTACCACATGGACATTATAAATTATGTAACTGACTACATTTCTCTTATCATAGTAGTTGCTTAAAAGCTTAGAAATAACTTTGTGATTAACCTTGTGTAAGGTGTGTTTTATATAGTATTTAACATGGCCCTGAATTCTTTCTGGTACCAGGAGGGGTGCATATATAAATAAATAAATACATGAATACTATCATTTTGATCTTTTTGTAGGTTTTCATGAAATTCTTTATTTATTAAAGAATGCTGGGTATATGCATGGAGAACATTTATGTTTCAAACCAAAACCCACCACCATCAAGTCGACTCTGATTCACAGTGACCCTACTGGACAGAATAGAACTGCCCTGTTGGGTTTTCAAAGGGAATTCTGGTAGTGCAGTGGTTAAGGCATCCAATTCATAGTGACCCCATTGGGTTTCCAAGGCAGTAAATCTTTACGGAAGTAAAGTCTTCCTTCTGAGGACTGGCTGGTGTGCTTGAACCTCCAGCCTTCTGGTTAGCAGTCAAATGCCTTAGACACTGCACCACCAGAGCCCTTATACTAGTTATGGCAGTGTGGTACTGGCAAAGATGAAAAAATAGATCAATGCAACTAAATAGAAAAAAAAAAAAAAAAAAAAACTCACTGCCATCAAGTCATTTCCAACTCAAAGAGACCCCTCCTTGGGTTTCTGAGGTGGTATCTCTACGGAAATAGATTGCCCAATTTTCCTTCTGAGGAATGCCTGGTGGATTTGAACCGCCAGCCTTCTGGTTAGCAGTCAAATGCCTTAGGCACTACAAAATAGAGGGCTCAGAAACAGATTCACATATTGAATCATTTGTTTAATGGTAAGGTAACACTGCCCTGCAGTAAAGGAAAAAATAGTCATTCCAACAAATTATTTTAGGCCAATTGAACATCTATACTGAAAAAATGTATCTGGACTGCTAACCAGAAGTTTGGCAATTCAAACCCACCAGCCACTCCTCGGAAGGAAGACTGGGCAATCTACTTCCGTAGTGATACCACCTCGGAAACCCAAGGAGGGGTTGCTATGAGTCGAATTGACTCGATGGCAGTGAGTTTTTTGTTTTTTTTTTTTTTAACCTCACAGCATACATACAAAATCAATTACAGGCAAGTCTAGCTGCAAAAGATAAAGCTATAAAGTTTTGAAAAAGAAAACAAGAGAGGAGAAGATCCAAGATGACGGACTAGGCAAATTCACTATCCAGAACCTCCAAAACAAAGATCTGAGAAACCAAGTGAAATGGATATGGATGACAATCCTGGAACCCAGAGCTTCAAAGGAAAGGATAAAGAAGTAAATAAAATATTGATGGTAAGAAGAGACTAAAAGAAAATAGTAAAAAAGGAAGCTTATGGAGCAGTGAACAGTGAACCAGTAAAATGTGGCCACTTTGAATTACTGCAAACAGTGTTCTGATTGGAGAAGGAAGCAGACAACCAGCTCCACTCACCCAGGAATCCAACAGCACCTATGTCAGTGATCAGTGTAGGGAGAGGGGTAATCTTCCCCCTTATCTTGTGATCATAGGCATGCTGCCCCAGCCCCATCAGGTGGCTGATCAAACCACTCCTACTGTCAGTGCTGAGCTGCTTTCCTTTTCTTTTTTCTTTCTTTGTAGTTCTTCCCTCTTTGTCCCCTTTTTAAATGGATTTTTCTTTTATTTTTTCTTACTCTTCCCTCACCCTTTTATTTTTATTTATTTATTTATTTGATCCTAGGGAGTACATCTCAACCTTGCTGCCTTCATGATTAACAGTCCCAACCATGCCCCTCCCTAGTCAGCGGAGCCCTCTCCCATGGAGCAAGCACTATGTTCTATGTAGCCATGTTTGATGGCTGGCACTTTCACTAGTACTATGCTAGTATTATTTTCCTTCTGCATTGTTCTTCCCTCTGCCTTCTCTCCCTTTTCTTGCCCTCTTTTTTTTTTTTTTTTTTTGATCATACAGAGCAGGTGCCTGCCCCTCTACCAGCTCACAGTCAGCAATGCGACCCAGCCTCCTCCATGGATTGTGGCGCAGACTCCAGTGGAGTGGCCACCACATTCCCACTGCAGCCCTATTTGACAGCTAACACTTGCACTAGTACTATGCCACTATTTTTCTTCTTTTTCCTTTTTCCTTTCTACTTCATTCTTCCTTTTTTTTTGCCTCTCCTTTCCATTTCTTCCCCCCACTCTCACTTTTTGTTACTACAGAGTGGGTGCCGTGACCTCACCCCTTCTGTGTTGAGTATTGCCTGCCCCTGCTCCTCCATATTTGATGGTGTACATTCTCTGTGGCCACATTCTGCCACAGCTGAGTTTGGCAGCTAGTACTTGGCCCAATTCTGTGTCACTTTTGGTTTTTCCTTTTCCTTCCTTTCTCATTTTTCTTTTTCTTTCTTGTTAGATCTTCCCATCCCCCCACTGGTTTTTGCCTTTCTCTTCCCCCCTCCTTTTTTTTTTCCCCAGCAGTCAGGAACCAGCAATCCTACCTAGCCATATGCACCATACCTGCCACCCCACACACTGGATGGATGTCATCATCTGCTCCAGCACCACTGCATTGATGACACATGGTGGCCAACCCCCGCCCACCCTACACTCACCTGCTGGACATGACCAGCAATCAGAGATTCATAACCACACTTCCACCTGCTACCAAATCCACTTGGAGATAGATGGTGAGTGCCCCAGTGCTTCCCAACTAGTAACCAAAGTAGCATGTCACCCCATTGCCTGGAAATATTAAAACAAAATGAAAAACTAAGATGAAGCAAACCAACATACAAATAATAAATTAATACACCACCACAATGTCTTAGAAACAACAGACAACTTAAAATCACACACACACACACAAACCAGAACAAAACAGCTCAAACAAATAACTAAAATATAGGACCAGAAAATATTCCAGGGGAAGAAAAGTTATTGGAACTACCTGATAAAGAATTCAGATTTATACTTAGGCCCTTTCAGCAGTTTAAGAAAGAGATCAAGGAAACCACAGATAAAATCAAAGGAAACATAGACAAACTCTGAAAAAATTCAGGAAAACAATACAACTTGACAAAATTAATGGAAAAACTAGAAACCATACAAAAGAGCAAATAAAATCCAGAAGATTAATACTAAAATTTCAGAAACAAATAATACACTGGAAGTGCAAACGAGTAGAACTGAATCAATAGAAGGCAATATAAGTAATATCGAAGACAAATCTCTTAATCTGTTAGAACAAGCAGAAAAATGAATGGGGGGAAAAATGAGGAAAGCCTAAGTATGATGTAGGACAACATCAAGAGGAATGACTTACCTGTGATTGGAATTTCAGAACAGGAAGAGCCAAAAAACAAAAAAAAAAAGAGAGAGAAAGAAAAGAAAATTGTTGAAGATTTGTTGGAAGAAAACTTCCTAATACCATGAAAGATAAAAAGATATGCACACAAGAAGCTCAACCAACTCCAGATAGGACAGACCCCAAAAGAAAATCAGCAAGACAAACTTTCTAAAACCAAAGCCAAAAAAAAAAAAATTCTGAAAGCAGCACAGGAAAAATGAAGTTACCTACAAAGGAGAACTGATAAAATGAAGCTCTGATTTCTCATCAGAAACAATGCAGTCAAGAAGGCAATGGTATGACATACATAAAGCCCTGAAAGAAAAAAATTGCCAACCAAGAATTATGTATCCTGCAAAACTGTCTCTAACATGTTGTTGTTGTTGTTATTTGCCGTCGAGTCGGCCTCAACTCATAGCGACCCCTCCTTGGGTTTCCGAGGCAGTATCACTACGGAAATAGGATTGCCCAACCTTCCTTCCAAGGAGTGACTGGTGGGTTTGAACCGCCAGCCTTCTGGTTAGCAGTCAAGTGCTTTCGCCACTATGCTACCAGAGCTCCTGTCTCTAACATATGATAATGAAATGAAGACATTTCTAGATAAAAGCAAATTAAGGAAATGTGTAAAAACCAGACCAACTTTACAAAGAAATGCTAGAAGGAGTCCTTTGGACAAAGAACCACCAAAGGCAGACAACA